CAAGTTGCACCATAAATCTGAAACTGCTGTTGGCTTTGTTCTCTCAGTTATTTCGGTAAAACAAAGCAGTTTGTACTTTAAACCCTCAGGTAAGTTTGCGGTTTCCCTCAACTTTAAAAGGCCTTCCATGCTATCATAAGACCGTAACAAAAATCTCCACATAGAAATTGATAATTGATCATGTAATTAATTATTCAGCGGTGACTGTGCACATACAATTGCACGTATGGAAAGAGGTGTCACCTTGAAACCTAATCAGCATGTTAAAAAGGACTTAATATCAGTTATGGCCTTTCTCCTTGAGGGCTGAGGGTTTGCTTTGCTTCTTTCAGATTCAGCCTTTCTTTGTGATAGCTTGCACTCCTCTCTTTGTAAATAGACAGCTTTACATAAGCAGAACTGAAAAAGATGCTTTTTGCTTCAACTTTTTGGTTGACCGTAAGAGTTGTAGAAGTGATAAGGGCAAAACACCCCAAACTACCACTGCCCAAATTATACCCAAATTTCTTGGAGGGGCAGAAGAAAACCCAGCGGCCATTAAGTCACAAAAATCTTCTCGTTCTCCTTTCCAAAGACTTGTCAGAGCTGTATCCCATCCGCTGTGTCTCAGAGGTGTGTGGTTCCCAGCAGTGACAAGATTGGCCAAACAGCTCCTCCAGAATCTCCACAGGACAGCACTTGAATGTGCCACTGCTCACAGCTCCTTTTAAAAAAAGGGTCTTCGTAACGGTAATAGATTAAATTCCCACAAAAGTGTAAGAACTGTCAGGGAAAGGCACCAGGAAAAGGGGGAGAAAGCAGCACCCAGAGTCGGGGTCAGGGAAACAGGAATTTATTTTCTATTTAATAAAGCCTTGCTGCAGCCCTGCTAGTGCTGCCGGCGGGGCGGCCTCTTGCAGGGCTGGGGAGAGTCCTGGGGGCCGGGGGCCCTCCTCTTGGCGGCGCGCCTGGGCCTCCCGCTGGAGCGGTTCCTGCGCTGTCTGCGGCTACGGCCCTGGGCAGAGGGACCTGCTGCTGCCGCCTCCCCCAGCCCCTCCGGGGGCTGCTCCTGTTCTGCCAGGACAGGCGCAGATGGGGGGCGGCCTTGACCCACATGGAGGGCGGCCTCCGCCGTGCTGGCTTCCTCCCCCCTGTTAGAGCTGTCATGGCCGCTGGAGGAGGCCGAGGGGGGGCTGCCAGTCCTGCACCAGGAGCAGTTGCAGCCGGGGGAGATGAGGTTGGAGTAGGTCTCAGACCTCTGATCCTCCACCCCCACAGGCGGGGATCGCAGCAGCCTCCGGGCCTCCTCGCTGCACTGGCTCGCGACGACCTCGATGATGCCCCGGGCCAGAGGTGCCGCACGTCTCCCAAGGCCCGGCCGCAGCGCCTCAGCCATGGCCTCCTCCACCGGGCCGCTGACGCACAGGGCGTGCACGATGTTGACCCTTGCACGATATATGTGCCACCAAGCTGACCCGTGTATTTTCCGCAGCTCCTGCCGCAGCCAGGCCACCACGGGTTTGAGGAGATGCGGCTGGCTCTGGAAAAGTTCTGCCCAGACCTCGGGCAGGAGGCCACCCACGGCCTCTGGCTCTGCAGCCCCCTGCTCCTGTGGGGACAGTGTCCCCTGTGGAGAAGATGGAGGGGACGCCGTGGGGTGACGGGGGCTGTTTTCGGCCCGGCGGCTGGGACCTGGGCCTGCCTGGCTGCTGGCTTCTTCTGGAGACACTTCAAGGACTGTCATGACGTACTGCTGACCTCCAGATCTACCCTGCCTGGAAAACCGCACATAGTCCACCAGTCCTCTGCAGAATGGGCACTCGGCTTTCATCCGCATCCACCACAGGACGCAATGCAGGCAGTACCGATGGCCACAGGGCATCGCGTAAGCCGCATCATCTTGAGGGTACCAGCACATGTAGCAGACGATCTCTGTCTTCGAGGCCATGTTCTCGTGCCGCAGCAGGTTAGGGAGCGCTGAGGATGAGGAGGTGCTCCTGCTCATGGCGCCGGCTCCGCCAAAGAGTGTCACGTGCTGCAAAAGTGAGCGCGGTCACTCGCTGTCCCAGCAAGTGGAGGGGAGGGAGGGGAAGAAGAAATGCCCAGACCCCTGGCAGAGGACACCCTCTCGGCTCCCCAAGCCCAGTCACCCACCCCAGGGCCACCCCAGGGGGACACTTCCCTGCACAGCTCACCTCTGCTGCCACAAGGGTGCCAGCAGTGCCCGGCTGCCTGACCCAGGCAGGGCCGGGGAAACACAGGGGAAGGCTCGGGGATGGGCACCCAGAGCTGACACAGCAGCACCCAGAGCACCACCCAGCACTGGAAGCAGCTTCACTCAGCCCTTCAGAGCTCGCAGGCTGCCTGCCAGAGTCCAGGCTCGAGCCAGACTGAGCCAGGCTCTGCTGGTGTCCAAGGCATCAAGGGTCCACCAACTGCTGACCTCACAGTCCATAACCCGATGACCTCACAGCCCATCACCTGCTGACCTCACAGCCCATCACCTGCTGACCTCACAGCCTTCCACGTGGTGATTGGACACCTACCCCTGCAGCACTCGTGCCTCCTCACACACGTCTGGGGCGATCGCAACCCCGCTTTCCTCTCCCTCTCCTCAGCTCTGTCTCCTGCTCACCACCAGTGTTTCATGCCAGTCACCAAGGCCTTGGCTGTGTCTTCAGCCCCCTCAGATGCCCCTACCTTCACTGTAGTGGTGCAATTCCCCCCTCTCCCCCCTCCTCTGCCACTCGGGGATTAGTGTGATTCCTCCCCTACTCCTGGGCCACAGACCAACCTGAGGAGTTAAGTCCTGCGGATGGCACTAAACAGAGCGTTAAGACGCTGCTTTCTGGCTCTGCCCTCCTTATCAATTGGGGAGGGTTATAACAGCCCCTCACCTCCTAATGGCCTGGGAGAACAGTAAGACTATTGCACACCCAGCAAGTTCTTGCACAGCTGGCAGAAGACACCAGAACACCTCATTGTCCGAGCTAGGCCGGAGTGAGAAGTGTCTGACAAAAGTCAATGGGACAGCTTTGTAGAGTCAGGCTGATGGTTGGACTCGATGATCCCAAGGGTCTCTTCCAACCTGAATGATTCTGTGATCTTGGACCCTATAAACAGGACCCTGGGTGAGACCCTCCGAGCTCTCCTGCACCACAGTGGGCCTGTGACCAGCATCTCCCCTTCTGCTGCTGTGTTTACAGGCAACATTCTTACATGCCCATGCTTTGCTCTGGGCTTCTGTCCAGCTTTTCAATTTCTGTTGGTCAATAGATAAAAATACCTGGTAATTCAAAGTGAAAATCTGATAATTTGCCCTTCCCCTGCCTCATGTTTCCTCTGAGAGACATGAACTGATGGGCCCAGCCTGGGCTTGAATACTACAGTCTGCCAGTTCACTGGGTTTCTCTTCCTCGCCTGCAAGAACAAGAGTCTCCCATCAGCAAGGTTAAGCAAACAGCCGCTGATAAAACAACTTCCAGGTTGCTCTTTCCAAGGCCGAGGCGCGCAGGCCGTTGAACACAGGGCCCTGTGTGTGTGCGTGTGTGAACCTCCTGGCAGTGACACCTGCCACACAGCGCTGCCCGATGACAGCGCGGGCCTTGGTGCCATGGTACAGGCTGGGTTAATGACTTTGTTTATACTGTTTGGGCAATCGAGATAAGGCCGCCCAACCCACCGGCCCCCTCCCCGAGCCGCTGGTGCTTCATTGAGAAAACGGCCGTTGACACCGTGCACTGAACTCATTTGCCCCGGCCAATCAGCCTGGGGATGACTGGGTTTTTTGTGGTGTGTTGTTTTTTTGTTTGGTTTGTTGTTTGGGTTTTTTTTTTTTTTTAATGAGGACTGCTTAATCACAGAGCGGTCAAGGCTGTGAAGGGGTGTTTCACTGGTGACCCAGTCTTATAAGAGCTGGTTTAAGCTGGGAGGACGGGGAGAATCCAGCCTGCGACGGAGGGTTTGGGAAGGATTTTTCATCTCTCTCCTGTCTGCTGGAGCTGAGTTTCGTGGAGGATCCGGCCACCCAGCTCAGCTATGTCCACCAGTGGCACGGACGTGGACTGTGAGAGGTGCCAGTGCCACAGTGAAGCCAAACGCACCGCCATCCTCTACACCCTCCTCAGCCAGAACCTCACCCACAGCCGTGGCGGCCGCAGCCCTGGCCACCAGCGCTGCCTCTGCCACCAGCGCCGCACCGTCTGCCTCCGCACACCCCATGTCACCTGCCAGGCGGCCTCCAACGTGCTGGTAAAAACCATCAGCTTTATGAAAAACCTCCCTTCCTTCCACCTGCTGCCGCGAGAGGATCAACTCCTGCTGCTGGACAGCTGCTGGGTCCCCCTTTTCCTCCTGGGGCTGGTCCAGGAGATGGTGACCTTCGAGGTGATGGAGACACCGGCCCCCAGCATGCTCAAGAAGATCCTCCTCGACGGCCAAAGCAAAGGGCAGGAGCCCGAGCGGACGCAGCCCACGCTGGCCGCCGTGCAGCGGCTGCAGTGCTGCCTCAACACCTTCTGGAGCCTGGACCTGAGCCCCAAGGAATATGCCTACCTGAAGGGAGCCATTCTCTTTAATCCTGGTGAGTGCCTGGCCCTCGTGGCTCTGCTTGCTGGCAGGAGAGCACATCCCACACGTTAGTGCCTGAACATGCACCTCTTGGCTTGGAGACGCTCAGAGCGCAGGCAGGCACAAGAGCAGAGAGGGCTGGTTGCCTTATCCTTAACTCTGATCGTTACCAAATGCCCCGGGAAGCAGGGAGAAGGGCTGTCAATGGTAAAAGCCAGAAACCTTTGCCTGCCCTGCAGACAACAAAAGACCCCGGGATTTACTTTGTAAAGCAAGAGTTTGCCCAGTTAACTACTTTTCCTCCTTCCAACAGCAGCCCTGGAATAGCTACATCTCGGTAGTGCTGCGTACATCTCGTTAACATGGCCTCAGAGATCATTTGTGAGAAATGGGGAAGGGGAAGGGTGGCAATGGGAGAAACCTGGGGCTGTTTTCCAGCCTCCCTCATCATCAGCTTTCCCTCCTCTCCCTCGGCAGATGTCCCAGGGCTGAGGGCCTCCCTGTACATCGAAAGCCTCCAGCGGGAAGCCCAGAGAGCTCTTCAGGAGGTCCTGCAGCCCCTGCACCCTGAAGACCAGGGCCGCTTTGCCCGCATTTTGCTGATCGCCTCTACCTTAAAATCGATCCCTCCCGCTCTCATCACTGATCTCTTCTTCCGACCCGTCATCGGCAATGCGGACATCGTTGAGCTGATTGTGGAAATGCTGTACGAAATAACCGGCGGGCAGCTGGCTCCCGTGGCACACGTGGCGTGCTGAGAGCCAGCGGCCCTCTGGATGCTCCCCACGGCTCGCCGGGGCAGTGAAGCAAATCTGGGAGCGGTGATTTAGCGAGAGAAGCACTCTGGACTCTGCGGGGACCTGCGCCTTTCGGTAGGGCTCAGGCCAGAGGATTCAGCCAAGCTGCAGCAGAGCACACGGAGAAATGGCAGCGCCGGTTCAGCAGATGTTTACAGCAGCTCCTGCTCTGCCTCTGCCAGTCTCCGGTTCAGCGAGCATGTGCGGGCAAGGGGTTTCTTTCCCTGTTTGCAGCCAGAGCAGCTCAGCCCCCTGTGAACAGAACACAAAGCAGGTCAGGTTAGAGCCCGGTCTTGCTCTTGAGTTAACTCAGCAAATCCTTGGTTCTGTTGAAATCAATGTGCATTTTGCTGTTAACTCCAAGAGATGAGGTTTGTCCCCAACTAACAGCTTCATTCTGCAGTGTTTAGACCCACTGAATAATGTGTCTTCAGTGGGATTGCTTACCAAGTGCAAACATTATGGGAATTAGGTGTGGGTGAAGTCTTAGCCTGTTTATTGTGCTTGAAATCTTAGAAATATTCATGAAAGATGGCACCAAGAGGGAAAAAGCCAGAGTATTAAATCCTACAGGGTGTGCAGATCCACCCCTCTTACGTTTGCTTAGATTGTAACTTTTCTCCACATTGCCATAATATACAACAGGACTGCTTGCAAAACAATGGCATTTACCTAAGAGCACATCACTGTGGGCTGTGAGCTTACCTCCGTTTGTGCGACAGTAAGTGACTCCCTGAGCTGTGAATGCTGCAAAGACGAGCGGAGCTGGTTTAGTGGGAGAACCAAATGTCCCTCCCTGGAGTTACAGCCAGGTGCACGCATAGGAAAACTTGTTCCTCCTCCCTGCAGCTTCTGCAACAAGTTAGATGTCAGTATTTTATAAGTGAAGGTTCTTGTGGTTTGTATATAAGATACAGTAAATTATTTTTTTAATAAAATGTTTTGCGTTTTGGAAAATGGTGGCAGTACATTTTGGGGAGGGTTAGAAAAACCAGCTGCAGACCTGGCAGAGAAAGGATGCTTGGATGAAAAGAGGGTTTTCATAAAAATCCGTCTGTTTCGCCCTCGCAAGGGAGCGTTGTGATGCAGACACACATCAATGGCTGCCAGTGGGAGCTGTCTGATGAACAGCCCCGCAGCGCAAAACCCCTCCGAGAACCCAGCAGACAGAAATTCGCAGAGGCAGCGGAATCACAGCCCGTCCACATCCACGCCTTGCGCCTTTCTGCGGGCGTTGAGCCTCACCCCGAGGGCTCCTGGCGCAGCGGCAATGTCAGAGATGGATGGTCTGACTCACCTGGACGCGCACGCAGCTGCCAACAGCCACAAACCCCATCCCGTTTGCCGTGCCCGACCCAGCCGAGGTGTCAGATAAAGCTGCGCAAAGCCTCCCTGTACCCCGTCACCCTCCCACCCATGGAAACACCTCAAATGTCAGCCAGCAGCCCAGCGGGAGGAAGGACTGCTTTGTCAGTCTGTCCCTCCACCTCTCACTGTTGCTGCTGAACGGTGACGGATGGCTTCCAAGGTGATCTCAACCCCATGACGGCCATTTTCCACGGGGAGGGAGCACATGAGTCACCGGCTGATTTCCACAGGCCCATGCCAGCCACGGGCAGCCCTGAGCCATGCAGCCTGGCGATGCGTGCGTGAGTCACGGCACACGGGATGCCGACCATCCCCGCTGCCAGAGTTACCCCGAACCGGGCATGCAGACACAGCCCCTGGTGCCTCCAACCTGCCACCACCAGTCCCTGGGGACAGGGGATGGCTGTGGGCTCCCCTATCCAGCGTGGCACCTGCCCTGCCACTGCCCACGAGGCAGCTCTGACACCGCAGGGCCACCCTTCCATCGTGGGAGACACAGCGCTGGGGCTTTACCACGAGGGCAAGGCCAGGACCCCTTGCACAGCGCTACACTGCACCACATGGGGGCCCTGGACACCCCCAGCGCCATGACACCCCCAGGGCCCGTAACCCCCATCAGGGCCTGGAGGACCCCCAGGGCTTGTCACCTCCATGGGGGCCTGGCAAGCCCCTGGGTCTGTATCCCCCCCGGGGCCCGGCCACTTCCAAGGTCTGTCACCTCCACTGGGCCCTGGCCACCCTCCTCCTCCCGCCATTGTCAGGGCCTGTGACCCCCACTGGGGCCTGGCCACCGCCAGGGCCTGTGACCCACCTCAAGGCCTGGCCACCTCCAGGGCCTGTCACCTCCACTGGGCCCTGGCCACCTTCAGCCACAAGCCACCGCCAGGGCCTGTGACCCCCACTGGGTGCTGGCCATCCCCAGGG